TACCTTCCTAGAAGGCAGCCATTGCCAGATTGGTTGGGGAAGGGGAAGGAGGCAGAGCCTCCAGGGAAAATGTTTCCAGCTGGGATGAGGGCAGTTCTCTGGAGCAGGCAGCAGTTGGGAGCCATTCTTGGTCAAGGCAACTGATGCGGAATGGCTGAAAAGAGAGGATCTGGGCCACCAACATCATTCTCTACATAACATTTCATTCAAGGATTAACCTTTACTTAGAATGTTGTAGATCGGAATAACTATAGCAACTGAGGTACTTTAGGTAAACAAAAGACATCTTATGTAATTTTGTTTGTTTTTCTTTGTGCAGATAGAATAACTACACTGCAAAATAGTCAGATGATTGTCAATCTCCACTTTTTACTGTAAACTATACATTAGCTTTGTTCATATTATGCTATGTGAAATGAAGATTTGTCTGTTATCATGTTATTTGGACAACCCAGTGTGGATACCTTGGGCCCCAAATTGGCTTTTCTTTTCTTAAATGAATAAATAAATTTATTTCTTTACCTGATAAAAGCCCTCTTTCAGCTCTCGTGTACTGGTCTGTACCTGACTGGGATTGGGTTTTCTCCATAACACCTAACAGTTTAGATGAAAAACTGAAGATTGAGTAGGTTGATGAAGAGTATGGCACCTCATGTCCATATGAGACCAACCAAATTATTTCAGCCACTTTCCAAGTTGTGATAAATAACAGTCTGTGTTTTCATTTACTCTCTGTGGTTTCTGTTTCCTGAAAGGTAGCTAATCTGATTTAACAGTATTTCTCTCATCTAGGAAAATGGGATTGCCTTTTTGCTTTTAAGGAGTAGTAATATGTCAATTAGATGCTGAAATCATATTAAAACTGACTCTTTTTTAGTTTTTAAATTTAACTTGAGATTAAATACTCTGTTTAAGGGTTTTTTGTTTGTTTTTATTTTTTCCTCCTTTAAAATATGGAGATTTGGATAACTTATCCAAAATATCATTTTCAAAAACATTTAGTAAACCATTATCTTTTTATTTGTTTTTTTTTTTATACCATTATCTTGGACTACAAAGAAAATAAGGTAATTTGTATAACCACTGCATTCCCACAGAACATTGGGCTGCAATGTCTCCATGTTCTTATTTAATAGATTAATATATTTGGACTTATATTGTGTTTTAAAAAAGTGATTATATGTCCCATATATTTTTATTTAGACCATAATTTTATTACTAATAACATCCCTTTAACACTTTTGAAGAAATTTTTACTTTCAAGTTAATAATAATTTAACTTATTCATTAATAATTTGAAAATAATTTATTTTGTGAGGCTTTTAGTGAAAAAATTATTTGAAGTCTAGGCTCTTTCCTTCTGGATTTTAGACTTAATATCACCTGAGGAAAAACTTTGCAATTTTCCAAATACCTAAGAAAATGTTATTTTTTTCTAAATTAAAACTTTGAAATTTCAAGAGAAAAATTTAAAAATATTTTTATAAAAAATATCCCTATGACATTTTAGACTACTTAAAAAAATTAAAGATTTTGCCCCGGAGAAAAAAATGCTTTTTATATATTGCCTAATTCTGCTTCAAATACTTAGGCCTCACCAACTTTGTATAGCAACACATATTATCATAGAGATCCTTAAGAGAAGAAATCTATGAGAAACTTACTATGCAAGTGTTATGGAATGAATTATACCTCACGAAAGTAATATGTTGAACCCTAAACTTCGATCTGGAGATATGACTTTTAGGGTGATAATTGAGGTTAAATGAGGTCATAAGTGTGAGGCTCTAGTCCAGTGGTTCTCAACCTTCCTAATGCCGCGACCCTTTAATACAGTTCCTCATGTTGTGGTGACCCCCAACCATAAAATTATTTTTGTTGCTACTTCATAACTGTAATTTTGCTACTGTTATGAATCATAATGTAAATATCTGATATGCAGGATGTATTTTCATTGTTACAAGTTGAACATAATTAAAGCATAGTGATTATTCACAAAAACAATACGTATATATGCACAAAATTCTTGCAAGAGTAGGCCTTCACAGCCCTGCTGCCTCGGTCCTCACAGTCCCCTCTTTATCCGGAAGTTGTCCAGAAGGTCGTTCGGATGTCTTGCAAGAGTAGGCCTTCACAGCCCTGCTGCCTCGGCCCTCACAGTCCCCTCTTCATCAAGAAGGTTGTCCAAAAGGTCGTTCGATGGTTGTTCCGCTGTTCGGCCGTTCGGTTGATTTGCATATTATGCTTTTATTATTATAGATGTGTTTTCTGATGGTCTTAGGCGACCCCTGTAAAAGGGTCATTCGACCCCCAAAGGGGTCTCGATCCACAGGTTGAGAACCGCTGCTCTAGTCCAATAGGACTGGTTGGTATATTTATAAGAAAAGAAAGGAACACCAGAGTGTTACCAGATTAAAGAGGTCCATTTGCCTGTGTGCATCAAAACTCAGTAAGACGCGAACAGGACCTTGTGGCAAAGAAAGTAAGGGTTTATTTCAGGAAGTGGTTCATGCCCAGAGACAGGTGAGCTCGTGCTTGGAACTGGCTCCCCGATGGCTTCCAGGGGCTGGGTTAGATAGGAGAGGAATCATTAATCATGGTAACTAAAGAGTTAGGGTGATGATCACAGTCCTGGTCTCTATTCATTAGATGGTTCTAGGCTAGGGGGTAGTTGATCAGTCCTTTAGTCTGATTTTGCTGCTTTTCTGAGCCTGTAGCTGAAACACAGCTGAGGCATAGATGATACCCCTAGTTTGACTGAAAGTCTGTCTCTGTGGTCACCAGACCCAAGGCTTTGTTCCTAAGATTATTTGATGCTGATCAGAACCTCGTTATCCTGAGGGCTTAATGACTGAAAGAGTGGACTTTAAAGGGAGAAGAAGGCAGGTGAATCAGGGTCTGGATAAGAACATATTGAATCAAAAGGAAAGGAAAGAGAAAAGGTCATATTAAAGAAATAAACTTTCTATAAGGTAACAAGAGGTCTTTTCTTTCAGTGCACACAGAATTAAAGTCCATCTTGAGGACAGAAAGGTCTGTAAGACAGGCAGAGAGTTCTTACTGGGAACCAAATCTGCCCATACCTTGATGTTAAGCTTCCAGCCTCCAATTTATCTGTTAGAAGATAGATTTCTGTTGTTTAAGCCCCCTAGGCTATAGTATTTTATTATGGCAGCCCAAGCAGACTGATACCCAAGTAAACTTTTCAATGTATATATTAGATCATTTTCTTCTTCAGATTTGCTACATATTGGTAGAAAATATCCAAATTAGAGAAAAAATAGGAATTGACTTTTACTTGGTAGCATCATGTGGACACCGATAGTGATGGCTAACCTATTGAATGGCATAGAAAATGTACTTCTATTATTGCTGATAAAATATTTTGTAGGTAGAACTAACTCCACATGCATTGATTTCTCTTGTTCCTTTTCTCTCTCTAAAGAAATTTTATATTTAAAATATGCAGATGATATTTACTGAATATTTTCTATATATCACTTACAGTCATACAGAGTAGGAGAACCTACACTACTGAAATTGCAAATGTTACCAAATAGGTCTTTCCGTCCACCACACCAAGAACCAGTTACTAGACATTTATCAGCGTATCACTGCTTAATATGTATTCAAAACTGAACCAGAATCCACAAAGGAGTACAAAAAAGATGAAGCATGTGACATGGCCCTTACTCTTGAGATTTTAATCTAGAAAAGGAAATGAAACTCATATGCTCGACAAGGATATTACACTATTGTTATGTTTATTCAT